AGAGATTGTATGGCGAGAAGGTGAGATCGGTCGTTCTCGAACGATCTCTACGAATCCTGGTCGGTCAGTCGGAAGAAACAGATGTGAGAATAAAATTGTCGGCTACGGGAAAGTTGTGGGTCACCAGAGGAGAACGATGGGTACCAACAGTTACGGATGACCCCGGTCGGGTCCGCTACCTGGTGATCTCGAACATCGGAGATAGGATCCTACGACTGGACCACCGTCTGGATGTTGGTATGATAGTGGATCAGGACAAAGTACCTCGATCCCCGGGGTTCGTGTCCGTCGGGTCACGTAGCTATCGGGAATGGCAGAATCTGGCATTGGAATCAACAGTAGATACTAGATCGGACCCCACCCTGAACTTATAGAGGACTTCGCGGGGCCGGTAGTACCGCGACCATCGTATCCCACGCCACGATCTATACTTCGCCGGCCGGGATCCGATGTGATTGACAGAGATCAAACATTGATATCGACCCTAGAATCTCGACCGAGGGCGGGCATGGCCGACGCAACTCAGATCGGGGCATAATCTCCCGATCCCGAAAGAGGACGCCCATCTACGCCACCAACTAGCCCCGATGCCGATCGATACCTGAGCGGCAATGCTGAGGGCGGCGGGATAAGTGAGAGCATGCCGGACCAGGCCACCGATCGGACTGGCACCAAGGATATCGAGCCGAAAACGGAAAATCAAACCCAGATCCAACTCGATCAAGCCCAGATCAAACTCGATCCCGGCGAAGAACCCGACGCAAAACTCCCGATCTGCCGGACTGAGGGCATCGGACAACGAGATCCGCCGGCAGAAGGATCTACAGCGACCACTCCACAGGATGCCGAGGACGATGAGGAGATATATTACCATGACAGTGGCGATCTCTCAGCGAAAGATCTGGAAGGAAACCTGGCTGTCCTCCCCGAAATCCCGATCTCGACGACTGCGAAGGTGAGCATTGAGGATCTGCAGGTAGGAGACTCCGGATCGGCCACACCCGAGGAGATCGAGTGACTCCGGCAGATAATCGGGAAGAAGCGACATCTTCTGATCGGCAAAGGGAACGCCTTACCCCCAGCGGCCAAGGGCGTCGTGTGCGATATCGATGTTGGAAACGCGAAACCGATCGCACTGCGAACCCGGAAAGTGGCCACGCGATTTCGCGAAAAGGTCGCAGGCCTGATCAAGGGCCTCCTGGCAGCCGAGATCAACCGACCCTCGACATCGCCATGGGCGTCACCGATCGTGATTGTTCGCAAGAGTAACGGTGTGGATATCAGGTTGTGCATTGACTACAAGTTGGTAAACAGCCTCACGAGATTGATGGTCTATCCTATGCCCCTGATCAGCGATCTGCTAGAAGATCTTGATAAAGCACTATAGTACTGTTCGCTGTATATGGCCAGCGGCTTCTGGGTCGTTCCCATGACGGATCGGGCTCGCGAGATCTCAGCATTTATCACCCCGTTTGGATTATTCGAATGGAGTCGCATGCCTTTTGGCCTAAAGAATGCCCCGCAGATTTATCAACATCTCGTAGACAACGCGCTGTATGGTTTTTTGAAGATCTCGCGATCCGGTGACGCTGGGGCTACAACGAACGTGTTCCGGACAGGGGTCGCGGACGATCCTGATCGTGAGTCAGTGTTGGGACGGAGATCATACATCGACGTTATCATGATCGCAGCGGAATCGTGGGATCAAATGTGCCGATGAGTGGAAGATCTGTTGGAAGCTTGTGATAAGCGGAATTTGTCGATCGGTGTAGCCAAGAGCTTTGGGGGCATGGATAAGGTAGGATATCTGGGACACCGAGTGTCGATCGGGGGTCTGGAGGCGAAGCCAAAAGATCTGAAATCCCTGGCCGATCTATCATTCCCCGGATCACTTCGATCTATGCAGTCGTTCCTGGGTAGTTTGAATTACTACAGCCGATTCATTGAAGACTACGCTATCTACGCTTCGGTGCTCTATGAGTTGCGCAAGGTGGAGTTTGCAGAACTGGAGAAACGATCGGATCTGAGGAAGATCATGGACCAGAACGATGAGATCACGACCCACCGGAACGGAAGTTGACGGGACCAGTGGACGCGAGGTGGATCAGGGCACATATGACCTTCATCGCTCTGAAAACCAAGATCGCGACAACCCCAGTCCTCCGCCACTTTGACGAGACGAGAACGCCGGTAGTTATCGTATATGCCAGTGATTGGGCGATATCCGCTTCGTTGACGCAAGAACACGACGGGATCTATCATCCGGTAGCGTTCGCCAGTCGCACTTTGAAGACGAACTGGGAAGGAGGTGTTGGCACTGCTGAGGATCTTGGATTTCTATTACAATTTGCTAGTAGGACGCGAGATCCGGGTCCTGACGAGGCATTCCACGTTGGTCTGGCTGTTCCAGTCGACGGGATTACAGGGTCGCCTGGGTCAATAGTCTGCCCTCCTGGTCCCATGGACACTCGAGATCACGAAGTGCACGAAGGACGAGGACGAGATACTGGGGGCGATCTTTGCTAGCATCACGCCGAGGGCGAAGATCGACGACGCTCTGACCGAAA